ACCATTTGAAGGATTTGCGATTAAAGTTAGGTGGAGCATGTTATCATGTTTTGATTAAAATACAAAACCTTTTTTTCTTATAGGAATAACATGCACTGATGAATCATTCACAAACATTATTTCAGTATATAAATTATTACACATTATTAATACTGTAATAATGAAACAAAATACAATATAGCAATAAAATGTAATATGCTTTTAAAAATATTCTTATAAAAATATAAAACAAAAAAATCCTAAATATATTTCTACTTTATAATATATTTGTACTTTTTGTATTTAGATTACTTTGCTAATGTATCTTGTTTTTAAATGGTAAATTTCTAAGCTAATTTCTGTTCAAAATAAGCAGTTGCAGTAACTTCACAAACTCATTTCATAACATTAATATGCATTAACATGAAGTAACAATACATATTTTTAAAGCAATTATTAATCTTCTTGCTAGTTAATAAAAATATTTTTTTTCTTTGTCAATTTAAGTTTCCAGTGCATTAATATTAACTATAGCATGTTATTAACATATTGGTAATAAACATTAAGATTAATAAATGCTATAGAACTATTAATTCTTAGTTAATTTTATCTAATGTTAACAAATGAGATCGGATTGTAAAGTGTTGAGTGGAAATTATATAAACGTAAACCCTACACCAATTTATTTATTTTTTTCAGTGTTTGGAAGAATAACAGAATAGCATTAACCGTCTTAAATTCTTCATTGTGCCGTGTGTGAAACATGGACTGAGCCACAAGATGAAATGAACAAACGCACAAGCATGAGAGTTACTGCTTGCGTTTATTAACACTTTAGAAACTCGTTCGGTGTTGGACACATTTAGTCTTTATATTAACATCAGTACCAGAATGATGTGTGATGAGAACATCAGAAGCGTTAGAAGAGGTTTCGTAGTTGGATTTCCAGAAGGCCAGTGCAGAATTATGTGCCAAAATGAGATTTTACAAAGTCTGTCCCAGAGTACAAGAGCTGATCGAAACGACTCGGTTCATGCAGTCCAAACATATCTCATCAAACATCCCAAAATCATAACGAAACCCTGCGTTCCTGGCGTGACGGAATCACAAAAACCAGGACGTTTCATAATTCACCTGCAAAAAAAATGTGTAGAAAACTTGCTTAATATCCTAACTTTCTTTTTCCAAGTCTGTAATTAGAGGATGAGAAAGTAACGGATATTCAAACACAATGTGAGAAGAGAAAAAAGCATGTTTATTGACCACAGTGAAATTATTACAAAACCAAAAAGTTTCAGCCTTGGAGCGAAAACACTTCAATACACGAGATTCCTGAATCCCATCAGATCTGTGCTTCACCAGAACTGCAAAGTCAAACTGCGATCAAAGCCCAACGCATTCACAGTGTCACAGCGTCTCCCACAGAAGTGCAACAGAAACCAGTGAAGGTCCTTGGAATGATCAAAGATGATCCTGGTGCATACAGGCAGTGGTGTGCATGACGGGACGATGAGCGTTTTGTTCAGCAGGAGATATCATGGCAGAAAAAGAACATTAGTTCAGAAATGTTTTGCTAGCCCATATTACACTGTCGATATCCAAGTGAATCTCATGAATCTGTAACGAACATTTTAGTCATATTTCACTTCAAATCAAAATGGAAAACAAAAAACAGATTATTTTTGTAAGTTTGCTTTAAAAAAAAAAAAGAAGCACTTTTTGCATTGTGACATTTATGACAATTAAACATTATCCTCCATGTTCAACTGTATATATATATATATATATATATATATATATATATATATTAAAAACAAATTTACATTTATATGTAAATTATATATTATAAAATATAGTATGCTTTAGTTTTTTCCTAGTACAATGCAATTTCAAATTTACTGCAAATCTCCAAAGATTTTGGAATGAAATATGACCTGTTTTTGTCAGATTCTTCATAATTCTAGTGTCCTTGTTTAACGCTTCTTAATCAAAAATCCATCGAATATTGTGCTGAAATTGAGACACAAAGTGTGTCTTTAAGGTGGTTCAGGTGTTGAGAAAAAACATCCTAAAGCATCATAATCCTGGTTGTGCAGAGAAGCGGTCAACATCGTTTCGATCCAAATGGAGTATCAAAGAGAAGTGGTTCTTCCTGTTAGAAAAGTGCCGCATAGAAAAATGCTGAAAGAGCAGAAACACGGGGGAAGGAGATGCCAGCAGTGTAGAAAACCACCAGCGCTTCGTAGAAAACAACTAGCCGCACGTACGAGGTAAAAACCCAGTGAGTTGAGATGCAAAAATATAGATTTGATACAGAAAGTCGCACGAGTAAAGAAAAGTAATTCACTACAGATGATATGAAACGGCTACTGAGTGAGTGTGTGTGTGTGTGTGTGTGTGTGTGTGTGTGTGTGTGTGTGAAAAATCATTAAATATCAAAAAGAATCACAATTCATCTGCTTCCAGTGGAATATATTTACATAATACTGAGTGTGAGTGTGTGTGTGTGTGTGTGTGTGTGTGTGTGTGTGTGTGTGAAAAATCATTAAATATCAAAAAGAATCACAATTCATCTGCTTCCAGTGGAATATATTTACATAATACTAATGAAAATGGGGAAAACACACAAACATTGCCGTCTTGGTGCAACTGTGGCAAATGTGCATTCAGGACTGCGACACACACACACACACACACTTCACTGATTCCAGTTGGTTAGAAAACCGTAAACATTGCATGGTCGTACTGTTAAACTGTGGGTGTTTGGAGCATCCGGTTGAGATGTTATGGTGATGGAGGAGGAAAGAGGAAGAGGAGGCAGGCGTGGCGCTCAAACATCCCTGATGTCCTCCAGCGAGGGACTGCTGTACAGGTACTCATAGATGGCGTAGTAGTGGATGGCGGCAGCAAGAGCAACGAATATGTGCCAGATGGCATGAGCGAACGGAATCATGCCATCCGATTTGAAGAAGACGACGCCCAGGCAGTAGACCAAGCCTCCGAACGCCAGCTCGTACAGCCCATCTGTGTTACTCTGATCAAAACAAGAACGACTTACTGACATGAAAATCACTGAATAAATGTTGTGTTTTTACACATTTGACATATTGACAACCAGGCAAAAATCTATAAAGGTTCCAAAAGGGAACATTGCTGCCATAGAAGAACCATTTTTGACTCCCCAAAGAACCTTTCAGTGATCAGTTCTTAATAGAACCATTTTTCTTAGGGTGAAAAACATTTTAAAACATCTTTCCACTATAAAGAAGCTTTTGTGCAATGGAAAGATTGTTAAAGGTTCTTCATGGAACCATAGATGCCAAATTCAAGGTTAAGTTCAGGATAAATTCAATATATTTTCATGTTTTATTCTACAACAAAAACATCAGTAATATGCCCTTGTTTTTGTAAAGCTTTTACCCCTTTTTTGCCCTTGTTTTTGTAAAGTCCCACACTCTTAAAAAAGGTTTCCAAGAACATTTTTCATTCAACAAAGAATCTTTTGATTAATGGGAAGATTCCATAGAGTTTAAAGGTTCTATATGGAACCATAGATGCCTATAAAGAACCTTTATTTTTAAGAGTGTAGCCAACTATATTTATACTGCAGATGTGTAAAAGGTAAATTAACAATATCTTGATGGTGTTGCATGTAGAGTGTTTTAGAGAGTACAGAGAATTAAGTATGTTTGTAGAAAACCCTGAAACAAGTTCACATTTTAGCACTTCAATTTATTTTTTTGAAGGGGTTTTTGATTTAATGCCTGAAATAAGGTCCATGGTTAACACGGGTTAAGTTCGGGTTAAGTTCAAGATATTGTCAGGCTTTATTTTAAAACATCAAAATACATCAGTAATATGCCCTTGTGATTTCATTCTAAAGCTTTTACTTGTCTTGAAAAAGGTGGTCACTAACAAGAGGCTAAATGGGACTACAGAGGCTGTTGAGAACATTAAACATCAACAGCCTGAACAGATAAACTCCTCTACTCACTAGTCCACTTTTACAGCCTTGCTGTGTTTTTAATCATGCTCTAGCAAACCACCCTAACTCAAACCTTTAAGAAAATGTTTTAAAATAAAGATTAAAAGCTGTTGGACGCTTAACGATGGTGACGTTCAAGTCATGTGACAATGGTGCAGTCCGCGGCCTACGTTTAACTTTTTACTTCTGCTGATTGCACTTAGGCTTCAAAATTAAAAAAAAAAAAAAAAAAAAGTTGGAAAGATCCCCAT